AAAAAAAAAAAAAAAGACTGAAATTCATTGTGGTTCTTATGCTAAGGGAGAAGGAGTGGCCATTAACCTCTGGCAAAAGTGAGATGCCATTGCTTCTTTTTCTTGGCTTCTGGCTTTCTTTCATTGTTAGTGCTGTTTGATTTTTCATTTTGTTTTAGTAAGTTTTGTATTTAAGTTATTGGAGTCTATGTGACATTCCTGAGAACAGGATTGAATAGGCTCATATTTAGGCTGTGTATTAAATAATATATATATGATATTCAGACTGAAATAAATTTAGATATAAATATAGATATACATTTTAATAACTTAAAAATGATCAAACATTCTAAATAATACCAACAAGTTTTGATTGTACTTGGATCACGGTAACTCAACTGTTTTTAATTAAATTTCATCTTATCTTTAAATAATCAAAGCAAATCAACTCGTTTTTTCTGGAAAATAAGTATACATTAAATATAAATTAACTTCAAATTTGACTAACCCTGTAGTCTCTGAGAATAAATTGATGGAAACAAACATCCCTGAGTATGTTGTGTGCTTATAGAAAACTAAAATGATCTAAACCCAGTAAGGCAAATATTCTTTGTGCTTTCTGGAGATGTTTAATAATTTCTTTAGGTTGCCAGTATAGAAATGATAAAATCTATTTGTCTCCTACATGCATTTTTCCCCACTATTGAAATTTCATAGATTATAAGAAAATCATAGGATGTAGCAATATTAACCATATTTGATCATTGCTTTGGTTAAATCAAGGTCATTTTTACAACATATGAATCAGGGATCTGCTTTCTCTCTCCATTTTATTTATTTCTTTTTATTTTTTGAGAGATTTTTGTTATAGGGTGTGCACACTAACCAGAGAGACAGAGATAGGGAGACAGAAAAGTGAGAAATCACCCCACAGGATGGATGGCCATGCCACAATCCCTTCTCTTTCATTCTCTTGGGATTTTAGGCACATACACACACACTTTTGGTGTAAGTTTCAAGTCACCAGGTGTGGGACTCGAATCACAACTACATGGGAGTACAATGACATAACTGCTAGGCCAACTGCTGGTCCCTTATTTTGATTTTTTTTAAAAGAGTCATTTATTTAACTTAATTTATTATTATTAGTGTTTTAAATTTGAACAGAGTGTATCAGAGAGAGAAAGAGAAAGTGAGAACTCACGCTGCCAGGTCATGACTCAAGCCTTGATCAACCATGGGTAAGCCCAGCATTTTAACCACCACTCCATTTGCTGGCTCTACTCCGTTCTTTTAAAGAAAATTCCAGCATATCAATCTTTACAAGGATTAAGGGAAGGGAAAACTCTGAAACTAATTTAAATAATTAATTGCCGAAAGAATGATAGTCAAATAAGTTTTTTTTATAATCAAGTATAAAAAAGTAATATTTCTATCTTTGTCTATTGGGTTTTCAAGAAAAGCATGACACCTTTTTGACTAGAAAAACACAGAAAAATATGCCATGGCTTTCTGGATGACCTAATAGTATTAATATAGAAACCAACAGATGGTGTAACAGTTAGGTCACTGGACTCCCATATATTCGACAGCAGTTCAATTCCTGGACCTGGTGGTTTGAAACTCACACTGGGCACATGTGCATGTATGTCCAAGATCTTGGGGTGAGGAGAAATGGAGGAGAAGGGAATGCCGTGTCACCATCTCCTCTGGGGGGGTGATTTAGCACTTCTGTGTCTCTTTCTAGCAAGTGCACATGCCTATAGCAAAAATATCTCTTAAATAATAGTATCAGTATAACTGTGTCATAGCAATTGCAGGTAGCTCGATTTGCTATGGTTCATGGTAGTCCAGGGAAGCTATGGAATTACTAGCTCCCCCATCTCTTGCTCCACATAATCTCTCCTTTTTTAAACAGTCATCCATGTGTGGTCTGTAGAGAATCCTTAGGTGTTGTTTATTGTCACTTACCCCTCTAGTGATTACAGAATAAACTGATGATAAGACTATAAGAATTCTTGTGTTAATAGATGTGTACTTAATTTTTTAAATTACCTCAGCCATTCTATAGCAACCTCCTCCAGTATTGTCTTTCATGTTGGAATAGCTCTAACAATGAGGAGATTACATATCTTGTAAGGTAAAATTAAAACTAAAAGCTTTCGGGGACCAGCAGTTGGCGTAACAGCTATGTCGCTGGATTCCCATGTAGTCAACCACGGTTTGAATCCTGGACCCGGTGGCTTAAACTCATTCCTAGTGTGTGTGTGTGTGTGTGTGTGTGCCCAAGATCCCAACAGGAGAATGGAGGAGAAGGGATTGTAGCATGGCCATCCCCCTGGGGGTGATTTCTTGCTTTCTGTCTCTCTGTCTTTCTCTGTCTCTCTGGCGAGCACACATGACTAGAGCAAAAACCTCTCCAAAAGAAAAGGGAAAAAAACCTAAAAGCTTTCTGTTTCCTAGGCACTTCCAAAAAGTAGCATAAATTCAAATAATTCTTGATGAGGTTTTTTTTTTTTTCTCCTTAGTATTAACTTAAGTTTATAATTGGTAATTAAGTTACTGGGTTGCTCTTATTTTTTAAAAATGTTCTGACATAGAAAATTAATAACCTTTATAATTTTATAGGTATTTGCTTCTTAAAAAGGTTTGTGAACAGCTCAGTCAATTTGAAATTTCTCCCACATTAATTCCACCTAGGAATCACTGACAGCAATGAAATTTGCTCCCTAAAGTTTGAATAATTAAAGCAAAAGAAGAGGCTGCCACTGGCTTGGTGATTAAAGGAGCCTGATCCCACAGGCCAGTCAAGTGGTTTGAATCTTGGACCCAGCAACTTGAAAACCAAAGTAGGCACGTGTCCAAAATCCCAAAAGGATGGAGAAATGGAGAAGAAGATACTGTGGTGTGGCCATTGGAAGGTACTTTCTTCCTTACCCTCTCTCTCTGGCAAACACAGGTAATCCCTGGCAAATTAAGAGGAAAAAAAGAAGAAAAAAAAGGAAGAAAAGGTTAATTCTTGATATGGAAAATAGGTAACAATTCATCTTTAAGTCTTCACTTTGTCAATCTGTGGTTTTAAGCTTTATAGTCCAGATCTAATTAGGGCAAGTTTTTTTTCATGGCAGTCACTTAAGATTTGCAAAGAACAATCCTGCACAATCCCCCTCTCTCAAGTTCCTCTACTGTATTTTCCAGAAAAATCCCTATCATTAGCAAACCATCACAGCCTTTTATGTTTCTTTCCTCTACATATCCTTTCCCTGAAGGTTTCCTCAAGTACAATGATTTGAATCTCCTCAAGAACACAATACAGTCAATTAAAAAAATCCTCTTTTCTGTCAATATACATTTTAAATATCTTAGCTAGAGATAAGAACATATTCCATAAATTGTCTGATGATAGAGGAAAAAAAAAATCACTTCTCATTTCAAAACTGTACCATGATTGGAATGAGTCATTCAGCTTTTCTTTATGTAGCATTACTGACGCGAACTTCATTTACTCTCACACACAATCCATTGGTGGTCTCATAGGAAAGGCGTGGAAAAAACTTAAAAGTTTATTATTCACAACAGTATATATAATAGTATATATTCCAAATAGGTATCATATTCTACTGATGGGCAGAAATCCATGGTTCAATAAACAATTGTCCATATTAAGTGATTGAAATAGAAGCATAACAGTTCGTACCAAAGATCTCATAGTTCCACTATATTCTAGTTCCAAATGCCATGCAGTAACTCCTTTGCTGCTTTCTCCCTGAGTAAGTCATGTTTTACATTGAAAGACGTAAAACATTCTGTTGTGAGATTAGAACTGCCTGTAGGAGTTAAATAAAATGAAAGTTCTTTCTTATAAATACTATTTTATTTCATAAAAATACAAAAATATAAATATACATTTATAAAAATATGAATGAATTAACACAAAGACATTCTTCAACTAAATAAATATGGCAGTAATAGTCATTCCTATTTTGTTAGGGATATATCTTTTCCATATTCATTTACAAAGTAGTTGCACAATGTGTAGTTTAATAGTAATAGTAAAGGTGACTGAAAGTCAGTTAAGAAAACATATATAAAGTTCTTATACCTAAGAAAAGGCACAAAAAGCCTTTAAAGTATATTTATTGATTATTGATGAGATATAATTTCTTTCCGAGATTGTTAGGCAAAGAGGGTGAACTGGTTAGTATTACTGCTTTAAAAATCTATGTCATTTGTATTCATTCACAGAAACTTACTGATTAAGCAAACCCTTACTAAGACAACACCTATGTATTGTTTGTCATTTCGAGTTGTGAAAAATTTCCCCCGAGGAAGAGAATGCAGGCCACTCGATCTAGTAACAAGGACAGTACCTCCACTAATTTCAGTCAAGTCAGAAAATACTCTTAGTCGCGGTCACTGTCGTCACCCCCATACATATCTGCAAGTTTTTTAAAACGAGGTCCCCAGTCGCTAAGGTAATCGTAATCTTGGTTGCCATCAGCTGTGAGGGATTCTAAAGAACTGAGCGAATCTGCTATGGAATCATTCCCTTCATAGGCGTACGTCGCAAGAGAATCATAGGGCGGTGCACTTGGGTCTGAGTCGTTTTCTTTTAGTCTTCGATGGATAAAATCTTGTACATCAATATTTTCCCACAGAGGCACAGTCCTCCTTATCTGAAAAATGGTCTCAGGCATTACATCCCGCCTAAGTTTGCTGTCTTCTCTTGCTTCTGGATTCCTTAACGTGCCGATGTCAAAAGCTTGCGTATCTTCTTCCCCGCCGCCTTCATCATTGTAGGTCACGATGTTATCCCGGACATCGTCTTTTGAAATGATGAGGGGTTCCTTTTTTCTTTGCCTTTTTAGTGCAGCAAACAGCACGACTAAAACTATTAATAAAAAATGAGAAAGTAGTGAGATTTCAGAATTCAAGATAAAACGAGATACATGCCTATCTGTGAAGTGTGCATGGTGCAAAAGGTATTAACATGGGATAGAGCTAACTGTCCCGCACAGATATATTGCCTTGGGCCAATGATCAGATGCAGTATATTAATAAAAGAGCAGATATTACAGTGTCAGTAATTTACTTTCAAGATTCACTTTCCTTTGAGCCTCTGGCATCGAAAACTTTGTTCAATTCTAATTATTGCATTTAGCCAACTATAATTACCTGCTACCTCTCTCCCCACAAATGCTCATTTGTTTCAAGATATAAATATGGGAAACTCTAATTATTATTATCCTAAATATTGAGCACATATTGACTATTAATGGCTCAAGATAATATATTCAAACCATTACTTATATATAGATGCACATGTACTTCTATATTTATTATATGCATATTTGTATATGTGTATATATTTTACATATATATATATATATATATATATATATATATATATACACTCATAAAATGTATCAGCTACTGATTTTACCTTTTCCTGTATTGGGTATCTATTATATTTAACTAGATTTTTTCATTAAGTTAAAATTTGGGGTACCTGATTTTGAAAGTATGCTTAAACACTTGAAATAAAACTCTAAAAGCTGACAATGTCAAGTTCAAACTCAACCGTCTCTCTAACTTGTACTCATTTTGCAAGCCAGCTCAGATGTAATCTCATTTGAGAACTCCTGTGATTTACATAGTTACATTTAAACTTTTGAGCTAAATTGGCAATTGATTTGTTCTATTTGTACTGCTTCTTTTTTTTTTCTTTTCTTTTCTTTTCTTTTTTTTTTTTTTTTTTTTGAGAGGTTTTTGCTACAGGGCGTGTGCACTTGCCAGAGAGACAGAAAGAGAGAAATCACCCCTCAGGGGGGATGGCCATGCCACAATCCATTCTCCTCCATTCTCCTCTCGGGATCTTGGGCACACATGCACACGTGCCTGGCATGAAGTTTAAGCCACCAGGTCCGGGACTTGAACCACGGTTGACTACATGGGAGTACAGCGACATAGCCATTATGCTAACTGCAGGTCCCTGTATTGCTTTTCTTATGTACATGTTTACATTATCAAGTTAACTAAGAATTGGTTCACATACAGTATTTTTTAGAATTTCTTGTTATAGAACTAGAATTTAAGTTGTTAGGCATATATTTGACAATTTTAATTAATAAATACATGTTCCAATTAATAAAATATATTTTTTAAAAATAAGAAAAACATAATTTCCAAACTCTTAAGATTTCACTGAAAACAAGCCAAGTTCCTATATTATATATATAAGAAAAGTAAAAATAAATACATAAAGTTTCTCCAAAACACAATTGAACATTACTGGAGAGATGTAAAAATAAGGTTTTCTTTACTTTGGGTCAATAAAATGCTTTGTCAACATTATTTTTATTTTATTGAAAAAAAATATTGCCTCTAAAAATGTATCATCCTTTTTCTGAATTTTTTTTTTTAGATGTTTGCCATAGGGCATGTACACTCACTGGAGAGACAGAGACAGAAAGAAAATGAGGGGGATCACACGCCATAATCCCTTCTCCTAGATTCTTCTCTTGTGATCTGGGCATCCAAGCACACACGCCTGGTGTGATTTTCAAGTCGCTGGGTCTGAGACTAGAACCATGGAATTCATGGAATTCACCATGTGAAATTCACACACCTTAACTTCCATGGCACCTACTGGTCCTCCTTTTCTCAGTTTTTATGTTGAGATTATGTGAAGTAAGCTCATTTATTTTGAGACTGCACTTGAACGAGGCTCGTGAAGCCCTTCTAACTACACTGGTGGTCTGTCCAATGTTTTTTGTTATATTGGTTAGTACAGTTCCCTCAGTTCTAAACTGATAGAATTTTAAAATGAATAATTTGAAGCATCTTCAGTTCATTTCCACAGAATGAGCTCTGGATACTCAGCTATGCTGAGGGTCATGGTGAAAACATTTAAAAAAAAAAAGTATTCAGTAAAAATGAGACCCATCTGTACTCTTTCCTCTTAAAGGATGAACGTGAGATTAAGTAACTCAACAAAGACCTGACATTTACCAAACTTGAGGCATGCACTAAAAAAAAGATACTTTTCTAAATTTAATATTGTATGAATTTATAAGTTCTCTATTTTTCTATAAATAAAAGAACAACCATGTAGTCTAATTATCTTAAGGGTTAAGCTAATAAATGTTTAATAATGCCCCCAAATTGGCCTTGGAACCTATTCTGAGCTGTCTTTCCCCTGCCAGCTCAAAATGATCCATGTCACATCCTCGTCTGAGGTTATTTATCTGGAGGATATGAATGGAAATCAGAGAGGCTCCAATAAGATATGAGAAAGAACATGTCATTATTTTCACTAATCTGTAAGTAAGTTTTAGTATTTATTTCCATTATAAATATTCACGTAAACTATAGTATAGGGACAACAGCAATATCACTGACTACTAAACCAACAGAAATCACAGAAATTTCACATTGCATTGAAGTTATCTCAAATTTAGATTTGCACTAGAACATGACATATCTCATTAAACAAGCAAGGATATTTCACCTTTTCTTTTTGTTTAGTTGGGATAGATATGTTTGCTTTTTTGTCTTATATATTTTATTCTTACAGATTCAAGTCATTGTTCTGAGTAGGCCCATAAGCTTTATCAGATTGCCGAAGATATTCCTATAACTAAAAAGTTTAAGAAGTCTTGCCCTATATTTTAATCTTCCCCTTCCCCTATCCCATAACAGAGATAGAAAGTAAGAGCTGAATTTCTTTAAAATGTATCAAGATGAATCTATCAATAAAATATCATTGCCTATGTTATATCTTGCAAAGAACAAATTCTCTTAACTACAGAAATGCAGTAACTGAGCTCATTTTTTAACATAGCACAAAGGATGCTTTAGTAACTTTGATCATGAATCCTTTAGGATTAGAATCAATTTTAACTAATAGAATAATCACTTCACTGGGGCCAGCAGATGGTGTGGTGGTTAAACACTAGATCCCCACATGGCCGACTGATTTCAGTCCCAGACTTGACAGCTTGAAAATAACACTGGTCACGTGTGCATGTGCATCCAAAAAAAGTTTAAGAAGTCTTGCCCTATATTTTAATCTTCCCCTTCCCCTATCCCATAACAGAGATAGAAAGTAAGAGCTGAATTTCTTTAAAATGTATCAAGATGAATCTATCAATAAAATATCATTGCCTATGTTATATCTTGCAAAGAACAAATTCTCTTAACTACAGAAATGCAGTAACTGAGCTCATTTTTTAACATAGCACAAAGGATGCTTTAGTAACTTTGATCATGAATCCTTTAGGATTAGAATCAATTTTAACTAATAGAATAATCACTTCACTGGGGCCAGCAGATGGTGTGGTGGTTAAACACTAGATCCCCACATGGCCGACTGATTTCAGTCCCAGACTTGACAGCTTGAAAATAACACTGGTCACGTGTGCATGTGCATCCAAAATCCCAGGAGATGAATGGCAGGGAAGGGATTGTGGCATGGTCATTCCCCCAGAGTGGTGATTTCTTACTTTCCCTTTGTCTCTCTCATGAGCACATGCACCCTATGATGAAAAAAAAAAAAAGAAAGAAAAAGAAAAGAAAGAAGAAAAAAAAAAGTCCCTTTACATTTAGGTCATAAGCGGGACAGGTGAAAACTAAATGTGTTCCTTCTATATTGCCCTAGGGACAAAAAAAATGTGGCAGTGTTAAAAAAAAAACAAAACAACTTCTGAAATAATTGCATAAAAATATGTTTATCAAAATCAGTTTGATGATATCAGAATATCTAAACTCATCTGGAGAGATGTTTTGATCCGCCAGCGTGCATATGAATGGCTCTGTGTGCATCACTTTAATATAGTAATATCGTCATTTGAAAGTTTAAATTGCAATATACGTATTTTCAGTTTACTCTAAATTAGAAAAGTAGAACTGTCTGAACAAATGAAACTAAATGAGGAGCTGTGCAGTACAACAGGATGCAAGGCAAGGCTAACCCACATGAGAAGGTTCCAGGTTCATGTCCAAAGACCTCCCTGAGTGTGCTGGCCACAGGGGAAGCATGACTCAGGGCCGGCTTTGAGGCTGGGGGAAGCCATGACGGTGGGAGAACCTGTCAGGAGTGCTGTCTGTCTTCTCTATCTCGTTTGCTCATGGAATAAATAAATGAACTTTATAAAAATGAAATAGGTAGCACTTAGCTGAAAGAGTAAGATAAATTTAAATCTCCATAGGATATAAAAATATTTGACAGAGGTCCACCTCTCTAGCAGCAGGTAGAGATGGGAACTGCTGACGGCAGTGGTAATGTTGTGAATGCTCCAAACCGCTCCGAGAAAACATTTTTCTCAATATTTGGATCATCTTAACTAAGACAAATGTTTTCCCCTCACTTTCATCAATCCCCTACTGAAGTCCACAAGGATAGCTGGCCAAAGGGATTTCCTCCAGATAGCTTGAAAGGATTTGCCGCAAAAAAAGAGCCAGCACATACGAGCATTAGAAAATAAATTTGGCTAGTTCTACTGCCCTAAAGCATAATCATTTTGGATGAAAATTTGATGGAAACAATTTTTTGGAATGTTTTACAGTGGAACAACTGTTTAATTGAATTAAATCGTTGTCCTGTTAGTACATGCTCAAATAAAACATTTGCTGTTGGAAGCATGACTTTATGTACAAAGTATCACAGGATTAGGTGTGATCATAGTGTCTTTGTGATATTTTAAAACCTAAACTTTAACTTTTTAATTTGGTGTATTATACTTTCACGCATGAACTTCTATGAGGGGAAATGCCTATCTTATTGTAGCAACTTTAACACATTTAACAATGAGATATCTGAATGATTTATAAAAGTAGAGTTTTAGATTTTGAACATAATAATAAAGAGAATTCCAACACAGACTAATTTGCTGGAATTCTACTTAAAACATTTTTCTATGGGAGCAGCAGATGGTATAATGTTTATGTCACTGGACTCCCATGTAGTTGACCACAGTTCGAGTCCCAGACTTGGTGGCTTAAAAAATTCATGCTAGGAACATACATGTGTGTCCAAAATCCCAAGAGATGAATGGAGGAGAAGGGATTGCAACATTGTCATCCCCTCAGGGGGTGATTTCTCACTTTTTGTCTCTCTCTGCCCCTCTGGTGAGCACAAGTGCCCTAAAAATCTCTCTTAAAAAAAATAAACATTTTTTTCTGCACGAATGACTTTGAGCATGTTGTTTGGTCATTATGCTGAGGGAGTTATCTGCAGGAATTGAAATAAGGACCAGCAAGTGGAGTAGTGGCTAAAGTGCTGGACTTTCACATGGTTTGAGTCCCAGACCTTGCAGTTTAAAACTCATACCAGGCACATGTGTGTGTGTGTGTGTGTGTGTGTGTGTGTGTGTGTGTGAAGGAAATTGCAAGAGAAGAATGGAGAAAGATTGTGGCCTGGCCATCCCACCATCGAAGGAACTTCTCACTTTTTCTGTCTCTGTCTCCAGCTATCTGGCAAGTATATGTGCCCTATTGCAAAAATTCTCTCTTAAAAAATAGAATTGATTTAAAGGTGAAGTGGTTGATTCAAATGTCCTTAGAACAGTGTCCATAGTTAAAGAGTTAGTAAATATAGTTTTATTTTAATTTTTTGTCTCTAGAAAACTATATGTATTCCCATAGACAAAAGCCCAAGGTCT